ACACACACACACACACACACACACACACACACACACACACACACACACCCCCCACAGGAATTACACCTGTTGATATTCTCACAAACAATCTTACGGTTTAAAGAACTTTTCTTTCAGCTTTCTTTAGTGTGAATATTTAATATAAAATTTGCTCACAGTTCATTCTGGAAACACACCCATTTAATTACATATTGTTAATGAGGCCCTCGGTCATATCTTATGCTACTTATGAGACCTGTGACAGAGAGTGAACAACAAAGATAACAAAAGTAAATTAAAAAGTAAAATTTAACACAATTAAAGGATGAATGAATTTCAAAATCAGTATATTACATTTTTATCTCACAGTTTAGGAAAATAAAACATAATTTACAGATACTAAAGCAGGTGTATGCAGTTTTTTTACATTTACAATGATCAAACAACACTATGAAACAAAAACAAAATAGCTCATTAAAATGAGCCATTTTTATTTTGCATATTCCCATTTCCCGCACAAGATAATCATGCTCATTGAACCATTATAATGTAATTAYTCTGTGGAAAAAAGTCACTATAAAAATACCAGCTGTAAAAATACCTATTTGTCAAGTGTCTTAAAATTTTACTGGCATGGGAAATGAGACTGAGTCTTAATTGCCTTTCAATATAATGCTCAGTGGCTCAACCTGGTCACAGAATTTCATTAGGAGTAAAGAGGAAAACTATCAGAAGGACACAGCTTTTGTTTTGATCTATAAATATAGCCATCTTCCTTCCTCTGTACTCACTTTCTAATTTAGTACCGTATTTATTTGAGTATAATACGTAAAATTTAATCCATAAAATCATCCATAAATTTGGGGGGGGGGGGGTAGTATTATACTCGAATAAATATTTTTAGTTATGTATTTTAACTGAAATATCGGCAAAATTATTGGGTCCGGAAATGAGACCGCGTTGTAAAAAGCAGTTGAAACGAGCTTACCTCTGACACTCCTCCGTTCTTCAGAGCGAGATAGTAACAGATCCAAGCAAGCGACATGATGTGAAAAAAAGGGGGAAAGCAGTCCTGCAGCTCAATAATGATAACAAACTAATGACATTAAAGTGTGACTGAGCCGCTGCTGGAACAACAAACACACATGTCCATCTGTAATGGTGGCCGTCTACTGGTTTTCTAAAAAAAGTTTGTATCCCTGAAAAAAGGTTTCTCTACCAGAGGAGCCGCTTGCGAGCAGGATGTAATCTATATCTGCTTGAAGATGGCCCAGATCTCATGTGAAGTATCTGACTTTTGTGTTGGCGCATCCTGATCGACTATGTGTAAAATGCCAGAATTCATATGATGCTCAAAATCATAGTTTGCTGATATATATTTGTTGTCAAAATACATTTCAGTACATATGTTGTTAAAATAAAAAGAACAGTCCAATGATCATTTTACTGATAAACTGCATATAAAGACTGCAAAGCCTGAAAAATCTTGAAGTCTGTATGAAATTGGAGGTAGTTTGAGGATTCAATTTTTTATGCTTTTTGAGCTCAAAGGTAGGGGGGTTGTATTATACATGAGATCGTATTATACATGAATGAACATGGTAATTTTCGAAAATAATGGCCCAATAGTGTCTGAAAATAATAACAATAATAAAAACAGTAAAGAAAGAGTGAACGATAATGGATGAGAGAGAAAAAAATAACAATGGCAGGGCAGCCTCCTTTCTAATATTCTGCTGAAAACTACCACATCACTCCATAAACATGAAAATGTTTTTTTTTTTTTTTTTTCGTTTTGAAGACCAATCATGCCCCTCAGCAGGACAGTAATTGATCCTTCAAAAGCCATATAGGAGTGGTTGTGCTGTAAAATACCTCCACTTTGTTGTATGTGCTCAATAAATAATGTTGGCAACCTGCTTAGACAAGAGAAGAACTGGCCCCCAGATTTATCAAGATAGTTTATATTGTGGGAAAAAGAAACACCTAAGCTAAACCTCAAAACAAGATACAAGCTGAACTCGAAGATYAAAGAACAGCAATGTCTGCTTGTTGTCTGAATGGAAGTGGGCTCCAAGGAAGAAGACCCAGCAAGACCCCACTTTTGAAAGAGGAGCATAAAAGGGCCTGGCTAGAGTTTAGCAAAATACATGTTGACAAGTCACAAAGCTTCTGGGAGAATGTGCTTTGGATATATATATATTTTTTTCTGCTTTAGATATACAAAATTAGATATTTTTTAGTCACTCTTCACAGAGAAAAGAAAGAAAAAAAATGAGAACTTTTAAAGAAAGAATGCTGTTGGATGGAGGAGGCTTGCTTATATTAAAAGGTTGCTTAGCCCAGCCTGACAGAAACACAGAGGTGTATTGAGTTTGTACAGAATATTAAAAATATTACATTATTTAGCATTCTGGTAAGAGGACRTCCCTATGGTTCACTTTTTTTCTTTTCATTTATTGCAAATATAAGTACACATCGGACATCAGAGGGAATTTCATTAMCAGGTTTAAAGAGTGTAAGAAGGATGGCACAGTTGTTCACAGTCACAGAACAAAAGGTTTCCAGGTGAATCATCAGCTGAATGTGTTTGCTAACACAACTGATATGCCTATAGGATACAAAGCATATCTTGCATTTATAGTTTGTTGTCCTGTACCAATATTCACTGGGCATTTTTTAAACCTAAGATACAGTAAGGCTAGAAATCAGTCACCTGGAGTTAGTCCAACAGTGACCAGACAAGAGTAAATAAATTGCAAAAAACAACCCAAAGTGAAATATTATCAAAAGCTCTGGCTATCTCTAGTTCTGAAAGATTGTTAGTAATTGTACATCAATACTAAATCTGTCAGAATTGACAAACCCATACTGTGTTTGGCTCATGTCTGTCCTTGGAACACCACGGTGAAATATAACAGATCTGTCATCCTTCTCACAAGGATGATGACTCACAGTTACACACTTCCAGTCCTCTGAAAAAGTTTGAGCGATATGGTAAAGTACAGCAAACTTGTAAAATACTCTCACTGTATGTTGTGTAGTTCAGTTTTTTTAGCAGTTAAAAGGACCCATCTCTACAGGGTTTGACTCATCTGAGTAAACAAAGAGAAATGCTGACATGATTCTTCAGCAAGCTCAATGCATTCAGATCTTTAGATTTCAAAATGAACACTGAAGGCATATGACTCACATTTGGCCTTGGAATTTAAGCTGTTCTGCWAGGTGGGAGGCTCCAGTTATTATAAATAATTTAACATTTCATTTTATGGCAATGGAGTACTCTTAAAATTACAAATTAAACACYAGTTGCCCTTTATGGGTTTTATTTAGTGGTTCTGTGCTTATTTGAGCAGATAATTTATCATGAGAAGCTCTGGGAACCTGTTTGAAATCCTGATATACAAACAAAAATAAGGGTTGTGGGATTTTGAACCATTCTAAATAAAATAGGAATAACAAGATTTTAAAAAATCACAGGAGCTYCCCAAAGATACAAAACCCTGTTAATTAATTCTCGCCACTGTAAACGTTTGGACATGTCACATTTTTCACATCCATGTTAAGCATTAAATAAAAAAGACAGAAATTT